GCTCCAAAAATCGCGTGTTTATTTATTAAAAGGTTGGATAGTTAAAGTGTCTATTTGTGCACTTTGAAAGTTGGAGGTCAAAGTTAAAATTTGAAGCCAAGTTTAAGGTCCAATATATGTATTATGCCTATATAAATATAACCTTTAACTTGGTTTTATTTCACATTTATATACTTCAATTTTGGATGTACACAAGTAGACAGTTGAATTTGTATAAAGTTGAACAAGTAGACACACGAGTCCTACGTGGTATAATACACATAGGACATTACGCAGGATACAAATTGCCATGTAGGATGCCACAAAAGACAGTATGTTTATTTGTTCAACTTTATGCAAATTTAAGTGTCTACTTACGCACACTCAAAGATGAAGAACATAAATGTGAGTTAAGGCTAAGTCAAAAGACGTATTTATGTATTAAGCCTAACCTGTAAATATCTCACACAAACAAAGTTGCACAAAAATGTTTGTGATGTATACAGAATACATCTAACAACAAAGAAATGAGAAATCTTAATAGCTCAGTTATAGGTTAGGATTTGATTCCCCGCCTTATAATTTCGTCCTCATTTCCCCTTCCCCTAGCCGAAAAGTGTCATCGATCTCTAACAATTCAAGCATTCAGATGAATTAGTTGTATGTGAAACATGTTTACTTAAGTTCCGAACAAATCATCTTAGGTGATAGTACTACTGATAAGGTAAAAACTCGAAATCATGCTTGTGATTGATTGACATGCATATTGGATCTAATAATTTGGAACAATGGATAAGAGAACATCCAACCTTACAAACATGATTTCCAGGAACAAAAATCATCCCTAAACAATGGCCAAAAATATCCCTTAATTATACCTCAAACTTAAATTACATCCTTGTACTACATAAATTAATGAACAAAAATCATCCCTAAACTATCCTCAAAAATTGCTAACTTACATCCCTTTGTTAGATTCTGTCTAGAAACTAACAGCCTCAACCAAAAATTGCTACATCTGTTCTTCACCTTAGCCATGGATCAGTGCATGTGTTGCACCAAATTCAACCGGTCACAAAAATTTGTTACTTGATCAATAGAAAATTGGTAATTATTGAGCATATATTTTCTTGAGTGTTGCAAAGGATGCATTTATTAGAAGCGTTATAGGCTTGCATTAAAATGAATATTGATGGTACATGTTATTCAAAAAGCAAGTATGATGATTGGTGATTCGATGATCAAAATTTTGAGATAATTATATCTTATTGAAATGATACCCGCAAGAGTGGTTGAGTTGGTTGGACAGATGATCCCAAATGGGGGTCATAAGTTCAAAGTCCCCTACATGTTTGCTCAAACTCATCATATGAGACTTGCTTAGTATAGTTTACCTCTTCAGTGTGGTTTGCGGGCTATTACATTGAAGCGGGGGTTATCCTATACACACCTGAATCCTCCTGAAAGATAGTGACTACGAGCTTCTTTGTCAACAACAAAAAAATATCTATTTCAATGACATTACTATTAGATTAATTCCCTCTTTTATAACATGATTTGATCCATTCTACATCTTTTTGCCGATCATAAAATTATCGGTCAAGAAACATAATTTGTAAGACCCATCGAATTTAACGCATGCATTGGTCCATGGCTGAATTGAAGAACAGATGTAGCAGTTTTTGGTTGAGGCCGTTAGTTTCTTTGACAGATTCAAACATAGGGATGCAAGTAGCAACTTTTGATGATAGTTTAGGGATGTTTTTTGTTCATTATGTAGTATAAGAATGTAGTTTAAGTTTGAGGTATAAATGAGGGATGTTTTTGGCTATTTACTCTCTAGAGATTTACTTTGGAAAGACATTATTTGTTGATCTTTTTTTTTTTTTTTACTTTCTTCTTGGGTTTTGAACAGTGTCTGTAGATGATTTAGGTGACACAAATATGGCAACTGTGAACTTCGTCTGGAGTTTAACTAAGAGTTATTTCACCCTTGGGCTCATAGGCCTTACAGTCTCTGATTGTTATGCTAGTATTATTCCTGTTGGAGGCATTTCATTTTCAATGTCTCCCACATTTAATCCATATGATGACAGTGAGATCTTTATCTTATGGATTAAATGTGGGAGACATTGAAAATGAAATGCCACCAACAGGAACAATACTAGCATAACAATCAGTATTATGGTCTTAGACCTTTCATGGAACAGACTTGTTGGAGAAATTCCTGGTCCATTGTTGAGTTTGACATTTCTTGAGGTCTTAAACCTTTCGTACAATCATCTGGCTGGGCGAATTCCTATTGGGAAACAGTTCAATACATTTCCAAATGATTCGTATTGTGGAAATCCTGATTTATGTGGATTTCCACTGTCAAAAGAATGTGGAAAACAATAATGAATCACCACTTGAACACGATGATGATGATGATGATGGTGATGATTCATTTTTTATGGAGCGGGTTCACATGGGAAGCTGTTGTAATAGGTTATGGTTGTGGTATGATATTTGGATTGTTGATAGGAGGCCTAATGTTTCTATTGGAAAAACCAAAATGGTATGTGAACTTTGCTGAAGATATTGCTCAACAAATTGCTGCTAACAAGCGAACAAGGCAAAAGAAGAGACGTCAAAGACATGGTTTAAGAATGAATTAGCAATATTCCAGGTATGCATCAAAACTTATTGTTTTGTATCAGGAAGAACATTATTTCCTAATGACCTAAGTATTCAGAAACTCAGAAAAGTCATTAAGTCCTATAATCCTCAATTTGTCTGTGCAGAAAGGTTGCTGGAGAGTTGGACAAGTTTATGAGCAAGTTAGTGTTGATGTTCTGGCAAATCACAATGCATGCCCATGGTTGCCAAATATATAATAAGTTACAGTTAATTTCTATAGTTTTGTGGCAAATAATGAATTAGCTTTAGACATAGCAACCTCTATACTCTGTTTGGATGGTTGTTTTGTGTTGTATTTTTAGTTCGGCAATATGAATCCTCTATTATCTATATCTATCTCGCTCTATTTGGGACCATTTGATTCAAGAAAGAAAGCTAAACCCTACCAACAAAGCTCAATTCTTTTGCTGCAGTTGGGTGCTTTCTATTTTAATAAGGAAACATGTTTTAATTTGCCTCGGTGGCCTGTCAAGCACCCCAATACACAAAACATCTTGCATTAGTAGGTTTGAGAAATATCTCAATTCAAGAGATGTGATACGGGTAATCTAACTTAATACAGGTATTAATATATAGTTGCTTTCATGACTCAAAATTTTGTTATGAATACTATTCAAGCAGACTTGTCATGTCTTATAGTGTTTTTGTCATTACTTTTTCATTTTCATTATTTCTTTCTCTATACTTGTATACTACTTTGGACTCTCTTTTTTCCGTAGCTGAGGGTCTATAAAAAACAATATATATCTTTACCTCTAAGATAGAAGTAAAGTCTACATACACTTTACTCCCCTCAAAACCACTTTGAGAAATTACACTAGATATATAATTATCGTTAAAAGCCATTTCTTATACGGAAAAAGGTCAAATATACCCCTATACTATTGAAAATAGTTTAAATATACCCCTCGTTATACTTTCAGGCTAAATATACCCCTCCTGATATACTTTTGGGCTAAATATACCCTTATAACTAACAGAGGGACGTGTGAACGACTAGGATTAAAAGAACTATTCAATTTAAAATAGATCTAATTCGAATATAACCTGCCCTCCCCGCCCCAATAACCTGACCTAATCAATGATATCAACCCACCCAATATATCTTTCAAACAATGTACATTACAGACATTAGAACTTTTTCTACCATAGATGAAGGATTTTATGGTTCATGCCTAGCGAACACATGAGTCAACAAATTCTGTGGGATGATAACACTTATAGAGACCATTTTGGTTACTTATTTACTTGTATCACTGGAAATATACTGATTCGTCGTGGTGTTTGCTTGTCCATCCTCCTAATTAGGGGTGTACAAGTCAAACCGAACCAACGAACCAAATCAAACCGACTTGTGGTTTGGTTTGATTGGTTTGGCGGTTGAAAAAAAAAACCGACCACTCTTGGTTATATATATATATATATATATATAATTTAATTTTATTTATAGATAAAAAATATTATTTATAATCTACTTTGTTAATATATTTTTAGTTAGTTTATAGTTT